ACTAAAGCTGAAAACTCTGCATTCGAATGAACAATAGGCAAACCAGCAGAGAAAGTGTTGTTTATACGCATGAGTATCTTTTGGTCATAGTAGTTCTCTGTCGACATTCGAATAACACTTTGAACCTAAGTTTGAAACAATATATAAAATAGGTGTACTTAAAGTCAATGGAACAGATAGACCTTGTATGACACCTTTTCCTGTTATAGGAAAACTGTTCGGTAGTAAAAACCAGATATAAGTTTTGTATTATAGCTCATATCGTTTATAGTAAACTCGGTCGGACATCCAAACATAATGAAACCTGCTCTAGTTGCAGCACATGTTACATCCGTCCTTAAAGTATTAAATAAGTCAACAAAACCTGTTGGTGGTATATCTGAGTAAGTATCTTCAAAGAAGTATTTTTTACCATTCACAACAACAAAGTCTTCTGGTGTCAAAAGAGCAAACAGGCTTTAGTCGTCATTGTGTTTAAGGTTAGTTTACAATACCGTCCTTGAGGACTTGTAAGTTTGTTGTTATAGAATTATATGACTCAGGGTTTTAGTCGTAATAGTATAAACCACTATGTCTTCTGCCATTTACTTAGCAACTAAATTTAATGAAATGTGTGGTCGTCAAATATTTTTATAACGTCTGGGAAACTATATTTTAAGTTCAACGTCTCACCTCCTTTCATAACGTATATCTTGTCAATGACATTATATGAAACACCACAGCAAGCAATGTCGGGTTCCTATTTCTTTGATGTTTATATCGTCTGCCTCTGTCAAAAGTTTCAATAGTTCTTTCAAAACTTCATGAGTGCAATGACATATGAGCACTTTTACAGGGTTGTGTTCGACCAAGTTTAACATTATACCTAAAGCTTTGACAAATCTTCTCCTGAGTTTTAAGTTTGTCTTTAAGTTGTTGGTAGTCATTTCGAATATCTGCAACAGAACTTAACTCTCTGCTAACTTCAGGGTATGTTGGTTGTTCTTTTACAGGAACTATTGTTATACCATCTTCGTCTTCGTATGGTTTCCCCACTTCAACATCTCTGTCTTTGACATTGACAACAACACTTTGACTGTTTGTTTGAGTTGGTGAATTTAACTTCACATCTGCCACCGCCATTAAACCTTTTGAAACACTTACGCTTCTATTTTTCGGAAATGACATTTTACTTCGAATAAAAATATGGACGTATTCGAGTATCTCTTCGAATTGAAGCAAAACAAAGTTTACACACACAAACAATACAAATACATTGACAGAATAGTTCTTTACACAAACAATGGAAAATGTTATAGAATAGCAGTCTTTGCTGAACCTAAATATTTTCATAAAGCAAAGAAAGTTGGTATAACTGAAATGGTGAAAGTTCTTGAAGCAGACAAAAATATAACTTCAAAACTTACAGATATTACTAAAGGAAAGTTTATAATACAATATTATGTCAAAACTGGCGTACTGTCAATATTTGACGGAGAGAAGTCAGTTCAAGAACAACTTACTGACCTGGCCAAAATCTGCTCGATGGAAGCTGTCGTTATGCCAATCTGAGGAGCCCCAGCAGGTTTCATCGAACGAATTTTCAAAAGAGCATCTTCCGTGAAAAGTGCTATTGGTTTTGTAAACTTCTTTGCTTTCAATTCATCTGGACCGTCTCTGTCACCAGTATATTGTATTTGAACTGTACCAACAGTTGAAATACCACCCATAAAGTTTCTGAGTCAGCAAATGGAATGCCAAGCCAAAAGTTTGAAGTTCTGAACGTCTCCATTTGTAGTTGATTTTTTGACCTCCTGTATGAGTCCATACTTTCACATATGGCATAATAGAACTTTGCATTTCAGGGTTAATGGTTGTTGTGAAGTTGTTGTTAAAGTTCATAGCATCTAATGTCAAGTTGTATGACCTCATATCTTCAACTGTAGAATATTCTTCTCTTGGATAATATTTCCATCTATGTTTATATGATATTTAATACCGGGGTTGTAGAAACAAGAATAGTCATTTATAGTTCGTCTGAACAGTACAAACATAGTATCTGCATGTTTCATTGCAGTTGTTAAAGCAATATCTGTTCTTGCACCTGGGTCAGCACTTTGGTTTCCAACTTCACCTGCAAAGTCTTTGACAGATATTTGGTGTATAGGGAACATAAGTGGAACTGCAATATATTTGGCAGCTAAAGCATTTGAAATATCTGGGTCCAACATATAGACTGCAAGTCTGCTTTCTATTCTCTTGCATTCAAACTTTTCGCATGTGAACTTAACTGGGTCCCAAGCATCTCCAGCAGCATTGAAATAATAGTTTACTTCAGTGTTGAGGTTTGAGAAACCAAAGTTTAAGTCAACTTTGTCTTTGCAAAAGTCACAGAACTTGGCTCCACCAGTTCCAGCTACAGTAAGAGTGAATGGGTCTTGTGTTGGTGCAATGACTAAGTTATTTTTGCTTGGAGTAAGTTCGATAGAAATTTTTCCTGCCCAGTTTGGCAAGTATCTTAAAAACCTGAAGATGAGGAAAGATGACAAAGGAACTCTAAGTTTCAGTTTTACTTTAGTGACAGCATTTCCATCTGAACCAGAAAGGTTAACATAAACTCCTGGAACGTTAGGGTCAAGTCTTCTTATTTTCTCAATGGTTGCATACTGGTCTGTTTGTTCTCTAGCTTGTGGTTGTACTGAGTTTCTCAAAGCGAACCATTCATAGTTTGCCCATGTTACTGTTTGAACTAAGTCAGAGTTAGAATATATCTTATATCCCATAAAAACTTCTGGAGCATATTGGTATCCGACATAGAAAATTCCATTGCAACCTTTCTTGTCAGACAACTTGGCAGAAGGTTTTATTTCAATGTCTTGTTCCACGTATAAGAATGAGTTGTCAATAAAAAAATGTGAAACCTGTCGCAAGCAATATCTACTGTTGTTGAAGAACCTTCTCCAAACTCACCTACGTTTCCGTAAGAAACAGCAGTTGTATATTCGTAAGTTCCAGGAACTATTTTCTGACCTTCTAATGGCATTGTCGCATTCGTTATACCATTCGGAAACATTTCCATTCATGGCATCCAAAACTGTTGGCGTTATATTCTGAGCGGCGTACATTTCATATGGGTAAAAATATAGAATAGTTGAATTTATATGTCATAATAGAACCCACGTGGACCAAGCTTTACTTTCTTCTGGCTGAGTTTTTAACTCTTCTTTTTCCTTCATTGCCACTACTTTCACTAGATGAAGTTACTTCTTCACTACTTTCACTTTGTTCTACTCTTCTCTTCTTCTTTGGTAACTTGCCCTCTGCTTCAAGTTGTTGCATCTTTGCCTCATGTTCACCTAGTATGTTGTAAATTTCCCATGTCCTTTTTGCCTTTGGGCTCTGGTCGCCCATCTCAGGTAACCTATATCCTAGAAAGATTTTGTCATAGTTTGTATTTGAGTCTTCGCGTATTGTTTGCATGACTCTTTCCTGAGTTTCCGGTTCAAGCTCTTCAAACAGAGCCTGTCCATATGGAATAAGCTCGTTTCCAAATATATGTTTTTGTAGCCATTCTGGTTTTCTTTCCATGTTACCAACAATATCTTTTGTGAATGGGAAAGCTTTTACCCAACGTTTCAGTCTTGCGTCATTTATTTCTGTAGTTGGTTTTATTTTGTCAAGGAACATGTTTTTCAATACTAACATTTCATTTGGTACTGTCCATTTGAGTTTTCTTAAATATTCATCCCTTCTCGGTTCATTGTCTGCAAAGTAAGTTTTTATGACATTTTGTAAACTTTCGTTTGCAAGGTCATGTACAATAGGTTCTCTTCCTTCTTTCTCCCTAACTTTCTTTCTAAACTCTTCACCAAATATACCATCTCTATGGTTCTGTGTAGTTCTTTGAGATAAATGTTTTAGAACGTCAGGTGTTATATTTCCATCAGCCATGTTCATTTCATACTGGTCCAAAATATCTGCATCTTTCATATCTTTCAATGGCATTAAAGCCGCGCTGAAAATACCAGCTATATCTGGTTCACCATTCACTTCCATTGCGTCTACAACTTCTTGGAATTGTGGTTGTAAGTTTATGAACCACCTATCCGGGTTAGCTTTATGACCCCATCTCATTGTAGTTCCATAGTCTGCAGAAACAAAAGTAGGTTTGTTTCCATCTTGGTTAGGTTCTGAATGAACTTTAAACAATGTTTCATTTCTATATGTTTTGTTGAAATTTAACCTTTTATTTTCACCGAGTTCATCCAAAGATTGAACGTTGTATGGTCGTAAGTAAAAAGGGTTGTTGTATTTGCGTACATTTTCTTTCAGTACTTCCATTCTATGCTGGATATTTTCATCTGATGTTGGAGTCTTTTGTATGTCGGCAAACATTTTTCGATATTCTTCTACTATGTCAGCCGAATTTTTTTTAGACTCTTGGAAAGATTCCATATTCACCTCATACTCTTGTTGAGGGTCAAGATTTTTCGGCTGTTCCAAATCTTCATCTAGTTCTGTGAAGTTAGTTTCCAAAGGAGGGACTTGTTTGTTTCCTTCAGGCTCTTCTAGCTGTTGTTGCTGAACTATTTCTTCCATGTCTGGTTGTATCTGAACTTCTTCCTGTGGAGTTTCTTGTACCTCATCTGCTGGCATTTCATATATTCCGAGACCGTTTTTAACAAGTTCCCTATCTAAGTCATCCGGACTCATAAACCTTTCTTCTTTCGTTCCGTCTCTATTTTTTACGCGTTTCATGAAGAGAGTTGAATTGTCATTTAGCTCTGACACCAAATATCTCGGAGTAAATTCAGTCATGTCATTTGGATGATATGCTATTAAATCATATCCCTTAGCGAGCTTGTATTTTCCAGGTTTGAAATTATATCCCATTTGGTGCTGAGCCATAAAGCTAAATAGGTTCGGGTCAGTATTTCCTTCCTTGAACTTTCTAATAGCTTCTTTATATCTGTCACTAAAGTCAAGAGTATCTGGGTAACCATAGTCTTCTTTAAGCATTTTTAAGAAATCTTGGTTTCCTTGTTCTCTACTTCTTTTATGTCCTTGCTCTGTTTGTGGTTGTTGTTGTGCAGGGTTTTGAACTGTTGGTTGTTGTGCAGGGTTTTGAACTGTTTGTGGTTGTTGTTGTGCTGGATTTGGTGCATGCCTGTGTCTGTGTCCATGTGACGATGTAAATGTTTTAGGTAGTCCTGGTGCAGGTGCTTCTCTTGGAGGGTTTGGTGGTATATAGGTTCCACTAGCTAGTATATAAGTTCCACCAGCTGGCACATATGTTCCATCTGCAGCGTAATGTCCTACCCGACTTTTCGTTTTTAAGAAAGCATTTACTAGGTCTGTTTTGGTCTGTTGTAACTCTTTTTCTTGACTTTCCACAACAGTTGCTCTAACGGCGTCATAGGCACTTTGAACTGCCTGTCTCGTTGCTGCATCTGTTATTTTCGTCATATTTTGTGCTACTTCTCTTAACTCGTTGTCGAAACCTTCAGCCTTCTGTTTCTTTCCAGATGAGAAGTCGTTCACTAGTTTCACCTTACTATGAAGAGCTTCGAAGGCGTTCTTAAAGTCAGCATTTGTTAAAGCTTCATTTGAACTGTCTTCATCCGCTTGTATTTTTGTCCTTATTGACCCTATAAGTTGGGCTGCTTTGGCGTTGGCTTGGGCATCTAACCAGTCATTGTTAGCTTTTATATATTCTGCGCTTTTCATTGCCTTTTGCATAGCCGCGTCGTCATTTTTACTTTCTTGTGCTAAGTTTTCATACTGTACGGTTTGGTTTTGCAACTGTAAAAGTTTTTCTGCCTTTACATTTGCTTCAACTTCTTTTTATACTCATCGCTATCCATATATGTCTTCAGGGCTTTTTGTTTTATCTCTTCATCTTTCAGTACTTTATATTGAGTAGTATGGTTTTTCAAATTTATGACATCTTGTTCCATTTTTGCTACTTCTGCTGCTTTTTCTGACACTTTTTTCGCATATTCCTCTGTACTTAGTTCTTTCAGTTGTTCTTCTTTCTTCTTTTTCTCTACGTTTAACTCATTGAGTTTCTTTGTGTGTCTGTCATATTCTAGTTTCTTTTCGTTTTCACTTATTTGCTTCTGTATGTCTATGTTTGACTTTTTGACATCTGATATTTGATTTTTGAGTGAACTCAAATTCATTTGACTTTGAGGGTTATAGGCTGTTCCGTCTGCGGCTCCACCATAGCCTGCCATTTTCGCTAAAAGTGCCGCTCTTAAACCTCCACTCTGTGCACCAAAAACTCGGTTTAAAAGCATAGGATTGCTTGACATTTGTTGCAACATAGTGGGGTCATTCAGCATTTGTTGTTGCAACTGTTGTTGTGGTGTTAGTCTTACTATTGGATGTTTCAATGCTCTCTTCCTCTTACGTATATTCTTACGTAGCTTACGTGGCATTTTAAGTGAAGTAAAAAAGAGGCTTTTGACAGATGTTTATATGACACTTTCTCCGGTTTATAGGACCTCTCTCATATTCTATCTTATCGTAAATAAAATCATAGTCATGTATGTCCTCTAACCATCTCATAACGGTTTCCAAACCACTTTTATCGGATGTAAAGTAAAAACATGGATGGTTATGTAAAACGTCTAAAGTTTCTAAAGAGTCTCTCACAGTATACTTCTTTGGAACGCCCGTAACTTTTCTGTAGCGACGATAGACCCTTACTTGTCCGGACATAGTTATACTATTTTGAGTCCTCTACCGAAAAGTCAACAGCAACGACTTTCAAAAATTTTTAAGGGCTAGAAGGGGCGCAGCCCCTGGAAGCCCGACAACACCCAAAAAACCTCATTTTATACCTCATTGCATACTAAACATCTTTGGGGCTAGAGGGCACGAAGTGCCTGGAGGCCCCACTCCCTTTTTTTTTTTTTTTTTTTTTTTTTTTTTTTTTTTTTTGAGGCCAAAGAATTTCATGAATTTACATATCATCCAAATAAAGTTTCAGAACTAGAAAATGAAAAACTTCAGAAAAAATTAAACGATAGACTTTCAAATGATCGTATTGAAAAAATAAATAAACTAGCAGAAGTTGCATTTAATAATGAAATATTTGATGAATATAACCTTGAACTCAGTGATGGACTTTAAGTCCTGGGCACTTTGTGCCTTGGGCTTTAAGGACCCGGGCTCAACGAGTTATGATTTATGAAATCAATTATTTGATTCATTCTTTCTTCAATCTCTTCTATTCTTTTTGTTAAATCATCAATTTTCATTAATGAGGTGATTCTTGATTGAGGAATAGATTTTAAACTAACAACACCTTTTATTTTTGAAATTTTGAATCCATCAACTTTAAACATTTTATTCAATTTACATGTTGTCAATTCTTCAAATAATTTTTTATTATTAGCATAATAGTCATTAAATTCTTCAACAGATGAAAAAATTTTTGTTTCAGTAATGGGTTTAACAATGTTTATTTTATTTTGAACATCTTCACTTTCATTTATTTCTTCCTTCTCTGTTTCATTTATTTTTAATATTGGTTTCATTTATCATTAAATAAAAATTAGAATATAAGTGATGAAATATATTTTTTAATTAATATTAAATCAGAAATGGCGGCAGGATTCTTTAAAAAGTTATGGGAAGGAATTAAGAAAGCAGCAAGTTGGGTTCATCAGAAAATAATAAAACCCATTGCAAACTTTTTGGCACCAGTAGCGAAAACGGCAGGAACTATAATTGGTGGAGTATTAGGTGCTAAAGCAGGTAATCCAGCGATGGGAGCACAAGCAGGTAACGCAGTTGGTGGAATTGCTGAAGGAATACTTAATAAAATAGGAGGAAAGTAGTGGAAAAATAAATATTATTTTTATCTCAATATCGGTTGTAGTCTTTGATAAACTTTTGCTCCCTTATTTAAAACTTCTCTTACCGGAACATTAGGTGCTATTTGTTCCACAACGTCACTAATTGCTTCTTTATTCTTAAATATCCAATTTGCTCCCTTCTTCATTGTTTCCCAAACTTTATGCGCTCCTCTTTTTACTTTATCCCATAATTTTTTAAAGAATCCTGCAGCCATACTTGATTATTTCATTAAAATTAAAAATTCATTTTCATCTTTTAATTTTGATTTTTTTATTTCATCATAAATGACGACTAACTATTTGGTGCCAAACACTAAACCGATTAATGGAAATGTATTTCATTCATTCGAAAAGATAAATGAAATATTCGCAAAGAATGACGGTAGAAGATATTATAGAGAACTTGAAAGTTCATGCTATGACTCTGATGCTCCATATTTTGATGATAAACAAACTCATTTAAGAATTACAAATCCGGCTCATGATGTGAACCAATTAGGTGACACATATATTAAACGTAAAGTTAAAGCAACTTTAGTTTCAAATAAAGCTTTCACATGTGATGCCGCTTTTAAATGCATGCGTTTATTCGTTGGTTATAAATCATCAAATCAAAACTTTAAGCAATTAGAAGTAGAAACCGAAAGAGGTGATGCCGGCTATCTTCAGATGGATTGTGCCCGTGAATCTTTCGCATTTGCAACATATAAACCAAAATCGGAAAGGAAAGTTAAAAAGTTTGTTCATTCATTATATAACAATGTCCAAAAATATGATAACTCAGTATGTGGTAAATATATTGACCCCTCGGAAGTTTTCAAGAGAGCAAATGAAGAAGTTGATATCACTTTTGATATGATTATTCCAGTAAACGATTTGTTAGCATTTCAGGCGTTCGACGATTATCCTAAATCATTTGGTGATATCATTCTTAAATATTATGTTTTCAGGGATACTTTGGTATTTTGCCAAGTTGACCCGTTAAGAGTTGCTGATTTACAAAATTACGTTTATGAAAAGATAACTGATGAAAATTATGAAAAGATTATGAATCATGTTTATAAATACGATCGCAAATTCCAACAAATCGGACTTCCTGCAAAATTAATTACAAGCTTAGCCGCTACATCTGCTGACGCAACAGTTGAAGACGTTATTATTTCATGCACAAAGATGGAAGTTTTAGAGGATAAATGTATTACACCAGGATATGGTTTAATTGAAGAATCAGTTAAAGCAATACCACGTTTATTCAGTAAGGAAGATCCATTCATGATTCCAGCTCAACATATTGACGTTCGCTCACTAAATGGAGGTTGCATCACTCCTGAAGGTATCAGCTCTGATTTCTCATATGCTCTTCATAATGTTACAGATATTGTGTTAGCATTTCCGAAGAATGCAATGCAAAGAACAGTTTTAGAAAATCCAATGCTTCGAGGTCTTCAGGTCACTATAGATTCCAGAAACTTCCCCGATCAAGCGATGACCACAGTGGGTGACATATTCTTTACACGTATGCTTCAAGCTTCTGATTTAGATGGAGTGAATGAATGCACGGAAGAATACGAGGACTCATTAACTAGACCACTGAATGATGATAATGGCACGCCATTAGCTAGAACATGGAAAGACCAAACTTCATTCTTATGCACTATTCCAGTTCAACGTGATGGAGCGGGTATATTCTTTGATGGATTAGAAACTTTCAACTCACAAGTTACAGTACAAGTGAAAGCTTATCCAATCATTCAGGGTGAAAATGACACTTACTGTTCAAAGGTGACAAATCCTCCTCAGGTTTGGTTTACTAGGACTACATATTGGACATGGACACCGGATGAAGGTTTGAAATATCATTCAACAGGTACACCACCACAGTATAGAAGTTCATATGATGAAATATTGATGAATAGAAATGTTTAAAATTATAAATTTATTTTTGATTAAATGGATTTCAATTCTGAAGAATTAACAGGAGTATATAATACATACATAGATGATATGATTAATGAAGCATTGAGTGATAATAGAAATGCTCTATCTAAGGAAAAATTAATGAAAATTCCATATTCTGAATGTTATTTAAATTCAATCACTGCAGCAATTGGTAAACAAAATAAAGGTAAAACATTAACGATATTAAAACAAATTATCATTATTGCTAACACTTCACCCTATTCACATGTGTTAATTTATATCAACCGTTCAGGTTCACCTTCAGATGATACATTTGAATCTTTAAAGCATTTAATCAAAATTCCAATTATTTATTTATCACAAGAAGAAGCGGAAGATTATTTGAAAAACTTTTTAATGTATAAAGAGTTATATAATACAATCAAGAAGCAAGGATTAGATGATAAAATTATTGATAAACAAAGGGATGAATTATTTGAAACACTTTCTATTTCAAATTTTGATAAAGAATTTTTGCATTCACTAATTTTTCTAGATGATGCCGTGAAATCAAAACTAATAACTAATGAGAAATCATATTTTAATCAATTATTAACTCAATGTCGACATATTCAGTGTTCATTCTTCATGGCTGTTCAATACTTTAAAGCATTAAGCACAAACATTAAATCAAACCTGTCCACCCTTTTCATTTTCAGTGGGTTTAGTCGTCAACAGTTGAACGTTATGCTTTATCAAGTGAATTTACCAATGAGCATTAATGAACTTTACACACAATATCAACAATTAGGAGAACATGGAAAAATAATAGTTGATTTAAATAAAGGTTCCATTAAATTCGAATAACTTTTTATAATTAATTTTTATTTTTTATTTATAATTAAACATGACAGAAATTGCAAATCTTCTACAGGTTCCATTAAAACAAGGAACAAACAAAAAGGGTGCATATAATAGAACTATGAAAGTTCCAGACGGAATGAAAGAATTAGTCCACATTGTTGCCGGTCTTCAAAAGGATGTTAAACAAATGAGAAACGTTTTAACATTACCAGAAGCTCAAGCATATGCCAAACGTCATGGACCAAATTGGGAAGCACATGAAGCAGACATTACAGGACCAAATGGAAAGCCTGATGGTATAAATGAAGTCTTTGTTACTGATGGTCAAGGAAATATTAAAGTCATAAATGGGTATAAATTAACAATGACGGATTATCCTAAACGTAAAGCATATAATGAACGTTATCCTATGCAATTTGATGAAAATGGAAAAGCTGTTAAACAACATATCGAAGACAGTAAAGATGGACCAATTCTTTCATACCGTCATAATCCATATTCTTATTTCAATGAAGAATTAAATGCTATTGAAGAAGGACCAAACGGATTACCTCAATATGTTAACCAGTTTGATGGTCAATATGCAAATTTGAGACCTGAAATTCCAGCTAAGAAATTCTTTAAAGTTGCTTTATTCGATCCAGTGTTAAATGAACAGAAAGAAGCAATGAAAGCAGAATTTAAACCAATTCAAGTGGCAAGAATTTCTTCATCTTCACTTTCAGAAGCGTTCAAGGAATTGATAAAGAAACCACTTTATTCTCAACAAGGATATAACTTTGATTTAATTAAAGAAAGTGATAGACGTAAATTAGAAAAATCGGATGATTTTAAGAATGCATGTAATGAAAAAAAAAAAAAAAAAAAAAAAGGTAGTGGGGCTTCCAGGCACTTCGTGCCCTCTAGCCCCTAAGAAATTTTGTTACTTTTCGGGTAAAAACATTTTTATTATTATATATAAATGAATTTTACAAAACCACCGTTACCGTTCTTTGGAAATAAGAGTAAATGTAAAGATATTCTATTGAGAGAACTTAAGAAACTACCGAATGGTCTAACATTTGTAGATTTGTTCGGTGGAAGTTTCTATATATCCCATTTGTGCCATACAATATTCCCAGACTCAAAGATTATATGCAATGACTTCGACAACTATATGGACCGTCTCAAACATATTCCAGACACTAACAAAATATTGAAAGAGTTAAAAGAAAAGATATCTATAGGTAAGATGGAACGTATACCATTAGATAACAAAAATATTGTGAGAGAGGTTTTGAAAAAAGCAGAATATATAGACTGGGATAGTATATCTGCTAGACTATTATATAGTGGTTCTATAAGAGTTCATGACATTGAAACACTTATGTCAAACGTTTTATATCTTAACTATACAAATGTTTTCAAAGAGAACATAGAAAAATATATTGAGGGTATAGAGTTTGTGAGATGTCATTGGACAGAGTTGTATGAAAAATATAAAGACAAGGAAAATGTTTTCTTTATAGTGGACCCACCGTTCTATAACACATGGGATTTTCAATACCAAGTAGACTGGACTTTGAGAGACTCTTTAGAAACTTTAGACGTTTTACATAACTGTCCATGCTTTTACTTTACATCCGATAAAAGTGGTTTGGAAACCGTTATGAGATGGTTAGAGGACATACATGACTATGAGTTTAGATATGACAAGATAGAATATGAGAGAGGTCCTATAAACCGGAGAAAGTGTCATAACAAAGAAATTTTACTAGTAAGTAAATGTGGTTTGAAATAGGACTACTTGTTTTAGGTTTTTTCCATTGTGTCATTTACTTATTTGACGTGGCAGAAAGGTACAGAGAATATGAAGATGAACCAATGTCTGCAAATGTTCAGCATATGTACTCGTAAGAGATATTTTTATCTAATATTAAATGGACGCACAGAACTTAGCAAATGCACAGCAACCTGGACAACCAAACCCAGAGAATATTCCAAATGAAGTTAGAATACAAACTGCAATGGCAAACTATGGTCAAGTGCCAACAGATGTACAAATGCAAACTGCCATGTCAAATGACGCTGCGTTAGGTTTGCCACCATGGTATGCAAATATGAGATGGAAAGAGTTTTATACAAACCCTGAAGTGGGATATAAACAACTTTATGCAGATGACGCGAACACAGGAGTTGACCCAGAATATGTTTTCTACCAGAGGAGAAACAGAATGTATGAGCTCCAGTTAAAGAATGCTATGGAACTCAACAGGAAACGTAAGAGACTAGGCGGACATTAGATTTTTACATATAGTAAAATGGGTTTCTTTGGAAGAATAGGAAACTTCTTTCGAAATGTTGGAAGAGGTATATGGAATGGAATAAAATCTGTCGGAAGAGGAATTTGGAACGGAGTCAAAAATATTGGTAAAAGAGTAGGTCAGTTTGTTGGTATTATACCTAAAGACCCTGAACCAGAAGAACAAGCTCCTGTTATACAACAGCCTGAACCTGCACCACAGTCAAGTTGGCAACCAAATCCAACACCTCAACCGTATTAAAAAATTATATTTTTACCGTTCGATAGTAGTTGTATATGAAACTAAGTTCTAAGTAAAACGCATGGTATAATGGAATTATTCTTTTTCTTCCATCTGTAGTAAACCATACTTGAAAGTCTGAAATACTTCCACTTGGTGGTTCGTATAACTTTGTAGGTTTTTCGTAAAAGTCATTTGCCAAGCATAAAAAAGAGTTTTGTGCACCAGAAAATGAAGCATGAACTATAATAGCATCTGAGTCGAAAACATTTCATATGTTCCATTAGGTTTTCGACTTCATAAAAGTCCGGGTGTACTGGATATTCTGCAGGCTGATTTAACATCCTCAAAAATCTATACCATGCCAAGTTGTTATATTTTGTAGAAATATAAACGTTTTCTCCAAGGTCTTCTATTCTATTGATTTTAACAGTTGCATTTTTCCTGTCATATATAATATCGAGATGGTACTCTCCTTCGTCAATGTTATACTGCTTTGCATATTCGAGATAGATATCGTTTATTTTTTCTTGAAAAGCTTGAAGAGTTGTTTCTAAGTTACAAGCAAACTAACTTGTAAAAGTTTTCCCTGTTCAAATTTCTCATACATACGTTTTTCTTTGTTATAGTATCGAATTTCAAAACCGACCGTAAATGGGAAACCATGTATGGCTTCTGAAATGAACTTCATTCTACGAAAGCCAATAGCTTTTGTGACGGATGGGTCTCTTAGCCATCTTAACGGGTAGTCAAAACGATAGCCTTCATGCTTTACGGTCTCTGTCTCAAACTTTTGACCGACATTCGTAAAAAGTTCATCTAATGGTTTAGTTGTAGCAACTCTAGAATTTTCTTTTTCTATTGAAAGCATATTTTATCTAGAATAAAAATGTCGAATGAAACAGCGTCTATGAGAGAAATACAACACAACCGACAACTCATTTTGCAAGCTCTAAATAAGAACACAACAAACTTTTCAAACTATTCTAAGATATCTGAGTCATTGAAAGAAGGAAACTTAAAACTGACATTAAACCCAATGACAGATGAGTTTCTGTTTCAAGACAATAAGAACCATACTGTTTGTATAAATCCAACAAAAGGAACTTTAAACGAGAAACCTATATCTGAACTTCTTTTGAAAGCAGATGTTGACAACAAAGCAGACAAAACATATGTAGACGATGCAATAGCAAAAGAAGAAGAAAGAGCTGACAAAGCTTATGCAACAAAAGAACATACTCATCCTGAACTAGCAGACAAAACATATGTTGACAATAAAATGTCAAGTGAAGTGACAAGAGCTGAAAACGAATATTCTAAAAAGACTCATACACATTCTATATCTGAAATAACAGACTTAAACGTTAGCCTTGAAAAGAAAGCAGATAAGGAATTGGTGGCTAGTGTGTTAGTGAAGAAAGCAGATAAGGAATATGTGGATGAAAAAGATAACGAAATGAAAGAAAGGGTTGACTGGTACCATGAATGGACATCGAAGATTTTAAAAACTAAAGCCGATACAGGATGGGTTTCAGGATGTTTAGACCTTAAAGCAGATAAAACTTATGTTAACGATGAGTTAGAGAAGAAAGCAAATAAGACTCATACACATACAAGTTTTACAACTTTTACAGCAGATGATATAATATTGAACTTTGACCTTGGTTCAAGTGCACCTTTAGAGAATCCAAGTACAAGCGTAAAAGATACACTAAACAATTTAGATAACAGTTGCAGGAACATTGAAAGTCATGCCAGAAACTTTGAAGCATATGAACTACCAGCAATGTTAGACAAGAAAGCAGACAAAACAGAGCTTCAAACATTAAAGACAGAAATACTTCAAACATTATATCCTACAGGCTCTATTTATACGTCAATGAACTCTACCAGACCAGAAGTAGTACTTGGTTTTGGAACTTGGACTCAAATAGTCGACAGGTTTTTGTATTGTGCAAACTCTTCAAAGGAAACAGGTGGAAGTAAAACGATTTCAGGTGCAAACTTACCTGCGCACAGTCACTACGTAAGTTTAACTACATCTCGAGAAGGTGGGCATAGGCATAAATATTGGGATTGGACAGGAATGACAAAAGGTAAAGGATATGATGTTAAAGACAACGTTCAGTTTGCTATAAATTGTTACTTGGATAACACTGAGGTAGGAGGAGACCATACACATTTCGTTTCAGGGTATACGCAAACAACGGGACAAAGTAAAGACTACATGCAACCTTACATGACAGTTTACGCATGGTATAGAAATGCTTAGTCGTCATTTTCAACTTCTTTAGCATATTCGTCTGGAGTTGTCTATATTTGTTAGGAACTGTCTTTGAAAGTATACCACCTTGAACTTTGACAAGTTTGAAACGAGGTCTGACAATAGTCGTTTTATCTTCTGCTTGCAGTGTGTACATTTTGCCATGTTTGCCTAAAACTTCATAATATTCTCTTGTATACTTTCTTCTATTTTTACGAACACGAATGTGAGTACCTGTCGGGTTCCCATTGTTGTCATAGTCAATAGTATTTTCATATGGGTCGCGTTTAGGTATTTCTATTTTTACTTTGTCACCTTTCTGAAGTTTGAAGCCCGGCATTCTTTCTTGTTTGTCTCTTTTGACTAAATTATTAAATATATAGTCTTTCTCTAAGTCAGGGTTGTTTTTCATTTCTTCGGGGGAGTGGTTTCCCAAACCTTTTTGTTTACGGCTATTGTAAATATTTAAAACTTGTCTCATCTTTGCCATGGAGAAGTGTCTATACTTGTCGTCATATGACATTTCATTTGCTTCACCACCTTGTGGTTGGTTTAAGTCTCTTAACATTTTTATACAACCGTCAATGACACCAAGAGCAGAATGGTTTTGGTCGACAATGAAATATTGGTTTACATTTTTTGAACGCAGATAGTTCTTTACATCATCTGATTTGAAAGAACTTTCACAGTCAGATGTCAGTTTTGTTGGATGGTATTTGTCAACGAATATTGTCAAAGCAGTTTTCACATCTAAAATATTTTTGGACCATAATGGTATGGCTTCACAGTATCTTGTGTTTTGACCGACAAATATTAGCCAGTATGGTGGTCCATCTGTTCTAACTCTCGGAATGTTTTCCAAGATATCCATAAACCAAGCATTTGGTGTTGAACTAAAGATTTTTACCATGAGTGCTTTCTTTGTTGCCTTAGAAACATAGGGGTCCTTGTTTGGATTCGTCATTTTTATCCTATAAGAAATGGGTTTATTTGGCGCGTTAGCAGGAGTTGCATCTAGATTTTTACCCGCAGTGGGAACAATAGCCAGAGGTGTATTTGGAGTTGGAAGGAAGATTTTGAGTACATTAGGTATACTTAAAGAGAAAGCACAACCTATTATACAAACTGTACAGAAAGGTTGGGAGGTAGCACGAGATGCAACAAATCTTATTCCAAATCCTGAAACAAGAGGAAAAGTTCAAGGATGGATGGACAATGTAGGAAGACAAGCAGGAAACTATTATAACAAAGCAAATGACTACTATAACCAAGCAGGACACTATATGGACCAAGGTGAAAGATTCTTTAACAGAGGATATAACCATGCACAACAGTGGGTAAACAATAACCAACCTCAACCACCTCAAACGTGGGGAATGTAAAGTTTTTTACTGAGATGAAATGAACAATACAGCATTGAGACAAATGGGTTCAAGATGGATTTGTCGGCTTCCAGCAGTTACACCACGTGTTTGTCAAGTTTTTCCTATACCTCAGGAAGTTTTAGACCGACTTAAAAAACCTCAACAACCAGTTGAAAACAAACCAAACTAAAATTTTTTACTGAGATGAAATGACCGAAGAAGTTGAAACGGTAGATTTGACACCACAAACAAAAAGTTCAGAACCATTGTCAAAACCTGTCAAAGAACTTACAGATGAAGAGAAAAATTCAATAATAGAAAGTGCCAGGTCTGGAAATACAAACTCTAACTATAAAGTCACTTTTCATAGAAATGGAACGGCTAGTATCTCAAAAAAGAAACAGACTCTCACAAATAAAATATTGAAGTCTGAAGGAGCTTTCGAGACAACAGATGGAAAAGTTTACTTCACTGACCAACAGTTCATTATAGAACATCTCATTGACTTAGAGTCGAAATATTCTAAACTTTACAACAAACACAAAAAGTTGAAAGGAAAACAAAAACAAATGGCATATGATATTTATGAAGATGTTGACGACACAACTGTTCCTGCAGGTGAGGTAAAGTCAAAGGAACCGAAAAGTGACGAAAAACCGATAGAAGAAGAAAAACCAAAAACTGAAGATAAACCGATAGAAGAAGAGAAACCAAAGTTTAGTTTCAAAACTAAACCAAGTCAACCTTCATTAGCTGGTATGGGTTGGCGTCAAAGACTTATGGCAGCAGGTGGTTATGTAAAGTAAAGAGAAAAAATATTTTTTTATTTTTATAAAAATGCCCCCATATAGAATGGACAGAAAGTCTGCTAGAATAAAAGCAGAGTTGCAAAGATATGGTTGGAGAGTTTCGAAGAATTTTAAATATAGGAAGGGAAGACCCATAAAAGTCTATGACAAATTGTCTGGTCTTCGCTACGAAATGGATTTGGAAACAGCACGTGCCAATTATCCAAACAGACTAGAGAGGTTAGAAGAAGAACGTCTTATGGACATACCTTTCGATGTTAGTGAACCTCAAGTTGAAGGACACGACGGCTTTGCCAGATTCTACTGGAAACATGACGAACAATTGCATCCTTTGAGAAGGAAAAAAGGAAAAGGTGAAGACGCACATGCTCCCATGGAAAGAACAAGATATGCATATCAAAAGTATCGTGAAGTTAGAAGTAAAATTACATCTGGTCGAACCTTTACAGTAAACTTTGACGAAGGAAAGAACAAAGAAGGCTTCATGGGAGTACTTGCTGCCATACAAGACGGAAATAAGAAAGGACACAATCTCAGATTGACCATAACAGATTTGGATGGTCACATTTACTATGCATATGGCAATGTCACAACAGCCGCACAACTTCTTGACGCTTTCAAGACTACAAAGAGAGAACAAATGGTTGACTCCGACTCAGACATTTTGAATGCAATTGAAGGAATTGCAAGTGTCAAGTTCGAATGGTACCAACCTAACCCTCAAGCAGTCAGACAACATGCTGGATACTTCCCCTTCATAAATAAGTCTGACATTGACTTGACAAGGTATGGAATTTACAATTCAATTGAAACAATTGTCAACGAACCTTGCATTCTTACATGTCTCAGGAACTCTGGTCTTGTTACAGATGAGAAGATGAAGTATCTTGAGTCATGTGTGAAGACAAGGTACATTCTCAGAGGTCAATTGGCAAAAATTGCACCGTTGGCAAATGTCAACATCCGAGTCAACATACCTACAGCTAAAGGTTCTTCACATGACGACTATGTTGTTGACAAAGACTTACCATGGTTGAAGATTGTACTTGTCCACAACCACTTCATGTTGAACGAAAGTCTTACAAACCCATTGTTCGGAAAATGCAAGTGCAACATTGTCAGAGCTGTAAACATTCTTTTCGAGAAAGGTTTGTTGGAACCAATTCCAGATGACAAGCTGACAGAAACCTTTGTACCAAAAGACGAAACAAACTTTTCATTGTTAGCAAGACCAAAAGTTGTTCCAGACAAAGTTCTAGCACAAAAGAAGTACACAATTCCACAAGGAGTTGGATTGTTCGGATACCAACCTGAACCAGAAGAACTTCCAATGAGGTTGCAAGAACTTCAAGATGCTATAAACAAACTTCCATTGAGACATCCAATTGACGTCAAATTGTATTGGAGAGCATCTGAGTTAGGTCAGAAGGTTTTATATGAAACAGGTTGCTTCGACGATGTTTATGAGATAACAGGAGAAGTTTCGCAGAAGATAGAGACCACTTGAATTCCACAAACTGGACCAATTGGTTGCGACAAGTTCGACTCAAACGAAAAGATATACTATGTCGACCTTAACGCTGCGTACATGAGTTTTGTCCAATATATTGCCGACTGGATTCCAAACGAAGATGGTGAGTTCCCGGGAAGGAACTATACAGTTGGAAAAGTCATACAACAACTGTATATGATTTAGGAAAGCTTCAAACCCCAAACTTGCAATGACACTCAAATTGCTTATGAATTCGACATGGGGATATTCCATTAAGAAACCTCAAAAGATGAAGAGTAAACATTATGAGAAGGTCGACAACTTTGTTGAAAGGTTTTCTCCTTTTGTTTTGAAGTACGAGTTCACTCAAGTCAAAGTGGCTTAGTAACCACATTAAAACCTATTGTCGAACATTGGTCTTACCCTCAGTTCGCAAAAGCAGTCCTTGACAACTACAACAAATTCTTCTCCGAAGTCAAATCCAAAGTTGTGGTTTACTATGAGAACATTGACGCACTCATGACGAACGAAGAAGGATACAACAAACTCATTGAAATGGGAATGGTCGGTGAAAAGATGGGCTGTTTTAAGCTAGATAAGGTATTTTCCGAAGTTCATGTAATATCGAAAAGGAAATATTGGGGTATACTTGAAGATGGCACAGAAATAAAACATTGCATGAAATAAAAAATTGCATGAAGTAAAAACGTTTTTTAAACCATATATTTTTACATATATTAAATGCTTCAGGTTGAAAAACAAAGAACAAAAGTAGCAGATACAAAACCGTTAGACTCTATCTTTACAAATGCTGGTAGGACTATTTCAGATGAAGAAATTTCATCCCGAGCATACAGGTTTGACTATCCAGTTCGTTGGCTTCAAAGTCCTTCAGATGCAAAGGCAATAGGATTTAGAAGAGTTTTGTTTTCAAATAGAACTAACGCATTTATGTTCGCAGTATATTTTCATGGGCAGTATAAAGGTTCTGATGGTCTAATAGACAAATTTGATGAAATGAGAATCTTTACAGTTCGTTCAGACGAAAGTCTTGAGAAAACTCTAAATGACTTTCAAACTCAAATGAACAAATATTATTGGGAATTTCAAGAAAAATACGACTCTTTACTAAATGGAACATACTATCTGAAACTAGAATATGACAAGATGAACTCAACCGTTTCATTTCAAAAGATTGAAATTAACCCTCCAAGAGATACAGAGTTTTTATTTTGGGGAGTAGACAAACGTTCTTGGGCACAATTTCTTCGGTTACTAAACCAGAACGAACCATTACCACCAGATGGTCCATTTAAATTTATACTTCCACCAGCAGATTTGAAG